TATATGTTATACAATATTATTATATTTATAAATTAAAAAATCTATGTTATATTATAAAAGTAGTGTTAAATGAAAAATGTGTGATAACCTGAAAAACTCATCCTTCGCTTATTTTAACAATAGTTAACAATATTAGTAATAGTGTTACGCAAACATTACATACTTATATATACAGTACAGGTATAACACTTTTGTGTGTCGATTGCATTAATTAAGTTAAAAAAGCATTTATTATTTAATAAAGAAATATATTATTATTATTATTATTATATACTTTCATTCATTCACTCATTCATTATCTCTCTCATTCATAAAATAAAACTTTCTCTCAATAATATTAATTTGTTTTTGGGCTTTACTTTTTTTGTTGCTATTTTACAATTATCTATTTATTTATTTATTTATTATTATTATTATAATTGTAATAAATGGCAAGTAATATATAAATTACCCATAAGTGCACAGCAATTACTTGTCATCAAAAAAAGGGAAAGGCAGGTACAGTAATATTGTATGTGTGTGTGTGTGTGTGTGTGTGTGTGTGTGTGTGTGTGTGTGTGTGTGTGTGTGTGTGTGTGTGTGTGTGTGTGTGTGTGTGTGTGTACCGTATGTTTGCATATGAATTGAATGAGATTTTTTTATTATATATATATAAAACTGTCTCACTTTGTGCTAAACCAAATCTATATGAGTTGCACCACAAATACATAGATATATCATAGATTATACTTAATATATACATACAAATAAAAATTAAAACTCCTCCTCTAAGCATTAAACGTTATAATATCGCGCCCATATATATTGCTGTTATACTATAAAGCGTACAGTAATAATGTAAAGATTTATATATAAGATATTATTTTTTAAATTATTATAATAATAAAATATATATATATTTTTTATTGAAATAGAAATATTTTAAATTTTTAACAATTATTAAAATTTAATTTTATTTATGAATATATTAATTATTATTTAATTATTATATTTTAATTTAATAATTATTTAAATTTGTATTTAATAAATTATTAATTGTATTAATTATTAATATGGAATATATAAAAAATTATTAATTATACAAAATTATTATAAAAAATATTAATTATAAAAAATATATATATTTAATCTAAAAAAAATGTAGATATTATATGACAACTATGACATTAGTTTTATTATTATTATTATTATTATTATTAGACATTTTAATTAACTTTAATTAACTTTAAAAACTATATTATTGCACATAATTGATTGTTATTAATATTGTATTGTATTTATCACAATATTTAGTACTATTTATAACTAATATTTATTATTTAATCACATTTGTTATCACAAATCTAAAAGTACTTAAACAACACGTGGACTTAGTTTGTTTTCAATGCCACACAATGTCATCCTATAATACAGTCAATAGTATATATGCGCGCAATATTATAGCGTCTAATGCTTAAGGGGCGGAGTTTTTACATAGTTATTATACACACTAAGTTGTATTGTTTGTATATATTAAGTATAATCTATGATATATCTATGTATTTGTATGCAACTATATATAGCACAAATGATACATTTATATATATATATATACAATATTACAGTTAAAATACTATTTTTTAAATTTTTTTGTTGTATTTATGTAAAGAGCAGCACTTTGTAAATGCATTGTTTTCATCCCACATAACACTTAAAAAACATAAATATAAGACAAACCGTATTATTATTATTAATAATACTATGAATAAATGGGAACCGCTTTCACTTATTTGAAGAAAATTGCGCTAATATTGCAAACATTATTATACATTATATTATTTAAGGGGTAAAAACTGAAAGTGTAGGCGCATTTGAAGGACAGACTGTTTTWTATATATATATATATATATATATATATATATATATATATATATATATATATATACAATTAGGTCACAACAATAGTGTTAATGTAATGAAACACATCTCTTAAGAAAGAAAGAGAGAAATGTTGAGTCAATTTTCTTTATTCATAACATAATAATAATAATAATAATAATAATAATAATAATAATATCATAAATACTTTTTTTTTATTTTATTGTTATATTACTGTATTATTATTATTATATATTATACTATTATATGATAGTAATTGATTCATGACTATCCAGAAAGAAAAAAACACTAACATTACAATTGTGTGCTGTATTTAAATAGCATTTCGTTTTTTTTTGGTTATTATTATTTCTTAACTTATTATATATTATTTGTTATATTAGGAGAAAAAAATTAGTGAACAAAGAGTGAACACTAGAGTGTGTGTGTGTGTGTGTGTGTGTGTGAGAGAGAGAGAGAGAGAGAGAGAGAGAGAGAGAGAGAGAGAGAGAGAGATTTCAGTGCCTTTAAATTTAATTGTTTTYAATACCTGTATATATATATACTATAGATATTTAAGGCAAGTGTTGTAAAATAGTTATTAACCATAAAAACCCACCTCCCGTTTCAATTGCTTTATATATTTAGTATTTAATGTTGTCTTAYGCTTATGTATAGAAAGAAAGAGAGAAAAGCATTGAAAAGTAGTTTTTTAGATGAATATAATCTGATCTTGAATTCAATTGAATCGCATCTCTCTCTCTCTCTCTCTCTCTCTCTCTCTCTCTCTCTCTCTCTCTCTCTCTCTCTCTTTACTAGCATAACCTTGGCTTTTGTTACTATCGTTTATAACATTTTATTATTATTATGATTATTAATATTTTTGCTTTCATTTTCAAACACAAACACACACACACAACATAAAAATCAACAAAAAAGAGAAAACAATTTTTTATTATCATTATTTGTAATTCATTTCTCTTTCTCACTCATTTGCTTTTTTGAGAGATTATATGGAAATATTATAACAGAAAGAGAGAGAGAGAGAAATGCTTGAAATGAATAACATTTTTATTAAGATTTGAAGTTAAGTTAAGAGAAAAAACTAAGAGAGAGAGAGAGATATATAACAAGAAAAACTAAAACAAATATATTTATATATATATATATATATCATATGATTGAGTTGTAGATTACATGTAGTTTTAGGGAAAAAATATAAAAAACACATTGAGATCTGTTCCACATTTTATATATATATATATATATTTGTGTTAAATATATATATATATTATTAAAGATGTTTTGGTGCGATATTAAGCAATGTAATCATCGATCAAACAAAACCAGTGGTGGTGTCCATGCATTTCATTTGGCATTCAATTTATATATATATATTATAAAAATATATTATTAAATATAATATAATATATATATATATATATATATATATTTATTAACTAAACAATTTTCTCTAATTTTTCTTATTTTTTTCTTATCTTATTTTAATTTATTATTATTATTATTATTTGATTAGTAATTCCCAGAGTTTGTTAATATAAAACTATTTTACATATTTTTCAAATTATGTGCTTATTTATAATGAATTGTAATTTTAGGCTAATATGTCTAATTGAAAATTCAAAAGAGGATTTTTATAATTAAATAAAAATTTGTTTGGTCTAAAAAAATAAAATAAAATAACTTAACTATAATATATGTGAAGTCAATAAAAACCAGACCAACAACTATATGTTATGTGTGTGTGTTTGAGATGAGTTTATAATTGAAAACTAAAACTCTCGTCAAAAAAATTACCACTTTTCATGTTTTGATATTGAAAGCTAATTTAATTATAAGTAAAAGAGAGAGAGAGAGAGAGAGAGAGAGAGAGAGAGAGAGAGAGAGAGAGTTAAGAGAGAGCTATGATTGCAACACACAAATAGGCATTTACGTCATCTTTGAAGGCAATCTTTTAAGGCTTAAAAAGCCATGAATTAAATGATGATTTATAATTTACTTACATTGAATGATATGCTTTGTTAACAAACAACAGGAGAGAGAGAGAGAGAGAGAGAGAGAGAGAGAGAGAGATGAATAAAAAGTGCATTTTTCAAAATCAATTATTTCGTTAGAAAATTAGAGCTCAACAACAAAAATAATAATAATTTTAATAATGAGTGTTTCAGTTGCGGAAAGTTGTTTTAAATTTAATACCACTTTTTAAATTACTTAAGAAGAGAGAGAGAGAGAGAGAGAGAGAGAGAGAGAGAGAGATAAAGTCATTGAAAAATTGTTGCGTTAATCAAAAGTGTTTTACTTTATTTTAATTTATTTTTGTTTATTTTATATTAATATAATAAAATACTCTTTATATTTAAAATTAAAATGCTTTTTTTATTTGTATATAATTCGCGCGCGCTCTTAATTGACAATACAAACATAAAAAACTGTTTTATACAATATATATATATAATAATAATATTAAAAATTAGTTTTATATATATTATTATTATTATATAAAAAATACATCAGTGAAAATTGAGGAAAATGTTTTAAAAAAGATTCAACATTTGTATTATATTGTTATTTTTGTTAACTCTCTCTCTCTCTCTCTCTCTCTCTCTCTCTCTCTCTCTCTCTCTCACACACACACACACACACACACACATACATACACACAATATAACATTTATTAAAATGAAATGCATTTTAATTTTTTCTTTTCTTTTCATTTAACTTAGTTATCCATTATTTAAACACAACACTACCGTAATGTCCTTCCACTATACAAAACAGTGGGAAAAAACAAGGAGACTAAATGAGAGAGAGAGAGGGTATACGATATATAATACTGTATAACATTTACATATATATACAGTATATATACTGTATATAATAATATTAGGCAGAAAAAGGTAGCAATAATAATAATAATAATAATAATAATTTTTTTCGTAATAGTGATAGTCATAGAGTAATAGCAATAAAAAAATAATAAAAAAAAAGTTTTTTTTTTTAAAAAAAGGTATTTGTAGGGTAAAACAAAAATTGCAGACATAGACTACTACTATGTATAATATATTTATACCGTTTATAAGTTATATATATATATATATTGAGGGAAATGTATGTATACATACCTTACAGCCCTCGCAAGTGAAAGCGCCAAAATGATATCCTGCTGCAGGTTCTCCACACACCTTACACAGTTGGTTCATCGCGATTCAACTATATATATATATAAAAAAAATTAATATATATATATATGTATGTATGTATGTATGTATGTATGTATGTGTGTGTGTGTGTGTKTGTGTGTGTGTGTGTGTGTGTGTAGATAATTATATTAAAATTTAACAACCGATATCAACAATAATATTTTTAAAAAAAAATGTTAGACAAATGTATCTAATTGTGTGTGTGTGCAGGTGTACAGTGTATATAACATTTTTTAAATTTATATATATATATATATATGTGTGTTTCCTTAACTATAATAATAATAATAATAATAATTATTATTATTATTATTATTATTATTATTATTATTATTATTATTATTATTAGAATATAATTTTATTAAAAAATCTCTGAAAACAAAAAATCACTTTAATTTATTATTATTTTGAWATATAAAATATATATATATATCAACTAATTGATTATATATATAATCTATATATAGACATAAAATAATTTGATTTATATATATATATATATATATGATATAAATGTTTATAATTTTATGATCTGTCTATTATTAGTTTTAGTCTAAATGGAGAGTTTTCTTAAAAAGTTTAAATGTCAAACTAATATATTAAAGTGCTTTTCATGGACAATATAAACCAGTTTACAATCGTTTTTTTATCAATATTTTATATTAATATTTATGTAGTTTTGTGTGCGATAGAAATGTACTACTATTCAATGATACTACAGTTATGTACATATAATATACTRTATATTAATATATACTGTATATATATATAAAATCACTTGAATTCAATGGACATAGTCCAGTATATACTATATATATATATATATTTGTCTAAAGATAACTTAAATGGTCAAATATAGTTACACTAAATATACATTATAAATACTATATATACTGTATATATAAATACTAGTTTTTGCCTAAATACAATATTATAAATAACTATTATAAGTAACTGAATATTTTTAGTTATAACTAAAATGTATATTTTAAAATAAAATTATAAATATATATATATATTTATTTAAAAAATTAATAAAATAGTATACAATAGTTTACTGATATTTTTATTTTTATTATTTTTTTGCTGAACAACTTGTATCAAATAATTTTCATCTAATATATATATATATAAAACAATAATAACTATAAATTTTCAAAAAATAAGAAATCTTATCATGCTAATAAAAATTGACTGTTCAATGTCATGGTTTCTAGAAACCCTTCAATTTACATATAAATATATATATATACAGTACATACTGTATACACCTAACAAACAATTGGTCTAAAATAATAAATAGTGTATATTCATGGTATTGCAGAGTGAAAAAAAAATTATTTTTTTTTAGTGATAATACTGTAAAATAATATAATATATTTAATTTTTGTTGAAATCCTACTTATATCTACTCAATTGTTGAAAATTTAAATAATAAAATAATTAATGTCGAATGAATATCGATTTTTTTTTAAATATAATAAATTATAAAATTTGTTTAATTAGTTATTACTAAATATAATACAACTTATCATTTTAATAAACACAATTTTTTTCTAAATAAAACTTGAAATTATGAAATTATAATATATTTTGTCTACTATTTTGTCTACTTTATTTTGATAATTGTTAATAAATGCTATTTAATTAGTATTCAAGTCTCTGATTTTGATTTATTTATTTTTTTTTGCTGTTGAGTTATGTTGAGAGAGAGAGAGAGAGAGAGAGAGAGAGAGAGAGAGAGAGAGAGAGAGAGAGAGAGAGAGAGACTAAAGCTATTTGTGATGGCATTTAATATGCAATTGAATGGGGAATATAGCAGCAGATGATAGTTTGTTAGCTAATAGACAATCAAAGTCGGTGATGATTTTGATGGGTTAGTATATATCGACTATTACTATAGTATACTAAATAATTAGTGGGATTTTTTTTGTGAATTTAGTTCAACCGATTTCTCTGCTAATCTAACGGCCAAAACACTAAAAAAAATTTTTTTAGGGAAATGAGTGGTTAGAGTAAGTGTGTGTATGTCTGTGTGTGTGTGTGAGTGAGTTAGTAAGTAAGTGAATGAGTGAGTGGACTGGCTATTGGCACCGGTAGCTAGTAATAGGTAGTAAGTGGTTATAGAGAGAGAGAAGGAATCCTCTGGCCTGATGAAGCATTACATGAGAATTTAAGGTTTCCCACGAATCCCCTCTCAGCACTGGGATGTCAAATATATATATATATATATATATATATATAAATATACTAATATAAGAACTGGTGTTTTTTCATTCATTAAGCGAGTAATATTATTTTTGTTCAAAAAAAAGCCAGCACTAGTAGATAGATAGAGAGAGAGAGAGAGACCTGATGATCCCAGTGCCCGGAAAGATGGCAATCCCTTATTAGCAAAGAATTCATCGATCCGTTAAAAAATTATTTAACAGAATCTCTCTCTCTCTCTCTCTCTCTTAATAAAAAAAACGAATTGAATTGAACGGTTAGATTAATATCAGTCTCCCTAATATAACTAATAGCTATTATGTATGTGTATGTGATTGAGACAATTGTGAGAATATTTGCCTCACAACAAAAAAATAATAATATAATAAATTAAATATAATTATTTATTTATAGAAAATATATTTTTTTTGTTTCGTTTTGTTTTGTTTTTTTAATATTAGAATTTTATATAAAAACAAAAATAATATGTATATTAGCATTAGATTTGCATATATGATAAAAATGTCTATAAAAATTATTACTTGTTTTAATAATATACAGTTTATAAATTATATATATATATATATATAAGTTTTTAGTAGTTTAAAAAACAGTACTGTTTATTTTTTAAAAAAACAGTTAACTTACCTTAATAATAATGGGGCTTTCTCAATATACTGTATTATAATTATTATTATAAATATATATATATATATATATATATATATATATATATATGTATATAATTTCTTTAAGTAGCAAAATATGCGATACAAACACACACACACACACACACACACACACACAGAAAAAACAATAAGTTTTTTTTAAATATATTTAAATAAAAAGTCAAAATAGTAGAGAGTTTTTCACACACAACAGCACAAGATTTCATGTATGTATTTCATGGCCTTTTTTAATACAGAAAAAAAGACAACAGTATTATAATATAATTTATATTATTATTATTATTATTAATAATAATATTTTTTATTATACAGTAAATAATTTTTTGAATTGAAATACACAGTAAAATAATGTAATGTTTTTTCTTGTAAAGTAAAGTGAAGTGACGGCACACAAACACTTTTCCTTTTACAGCCAGCCGTGTATTAAGCAATGATAATCTCTTTATAATAAACCACACATTTACACATATATAACATACATATATATATATAAATATATTTATTTAAACTATATAATTTTTTTTATATGTATGTATATATATACTGTATATTATTTTTTTTTGATATATTAAAATATCACAATTTTTTTTTGCTTAATAACTCGACTCTCACTTATTATAACATTTTAATGCGTTCGACAATGACTGTGAAAGTGTAGTTGAAAATACAATTTATTTATTATTGATATTATAAATAATTAGCAGATTTTTACCAGTATATTCATTATATTAATATATAATTATATATATATATATAAATAATAAAATTGAAACATTTATATCGCAACTAATAATATTATTATTAATAAGAATAATAATAATAATAAATCTATTAACTGAATCACTTGAATTTAAAATGTGTTTTTTATTATATATATATATGTATAACAAAAAAAACAAAAAATAAAAATCATCATATTTTTTTGCATTTGATATGTTAACTCATTAATTAACAGCAGCAGAAAAAATAAAACAAATTAACTTTTTTTCTAATATGTGTTAAGTATTGGTTGGAAATACAACAACTTAAAAAAATTAGATTAATATTTAAGTAATAATAATACAGTAATTAAACGGATAAACAGTGGTCACATAATTGATACACAAAAATTAAAACTAAAACAAACTGTTTTTATAAAACAATAGCAGCAATAATTATGATCAATATATATATAATAGTAGTTAAAGAGGAGCACACAATTGTTGTTGAATTATTATTATTATTATTAATATAAAAATATATTATTAAAGCAAAAAAAAAAGTTTCTTCAAAAAGTATGTATTGATTTTGATTTTAGCAGCAAAAATGAAATGAGAGTTTAGTTTTTCAATGTTTTATCTCATCAGACGTGAGCACCGGTAAGAACTGAACACCTTTTCTCTGTTGGACTCGTGATTCGGTGCTTCACATGAAGATCGAGGTCAGGGAATAGGCAGTGTTTCTTCAATCTGGAGAAGCATTGAGAGAGGAGAAGCGCGGGGGAGAAGGAGAGAGAGAGAGAGAGAGAGAGAGAGTATGCTATATGTAAGTGCCTCCAAGTGCTGTATTCGCTGTTATGCCACAAATGCTTGTGTGCACTGAAAGGAGGAGGGATTTGCTAACTGAACGATAAAGAGTGAGACAGAGGAGGAAAACTTTGCGCTTAAAACAACTAAAACGGTTTGCCATCCAAATGATGCTAAATGAGACTCACCTGTGCCTCTCTCTCTCTCTCTCTCTCTCTCTCTCTCTCTCTCTCTCTCTCTCATATATATATATATATATATATATATCCCATTGTAGTGTATGTACGGTATTGTAATACTGTACTTACAGGGTAGACATAACTTATATATATACACTGTGTACAAGTGTGTGTAAATTTTTATTTCATGTCAACCACTTTTTGAAGTGGTTGGTTAGTAGTGATTGCACTGGACATACAAAATGTTTAAAATTTGTGAAACACTTAAATACCAAAAATGTCATATTGTTATTAGTATTATTAGTAATAGTATTATTAATATTAATAGGATTTTTGTATTAGTATTATAATAATAATAATAATAATTATTATTATTATTTAGATTATCGTCAAAAACTTTTAACGGTGAGAATCCCCCTTTCAATATATAGCTGAATATATATATATATTGAATTCAATATATAATATTTCATAGCATAGTATACTGTATATGCCGTTTGCATCACTTAACGGCTCATTTATACACTTTTAAGACACCAAATATATAGTTCAAGTGAGTGATGGTGTGGTGTAGTGGTGGTGATGATGGGGGCCCTAACTCTGCAAACATACACACAGAGGAGTTATCACATTTCTCTTACAGACTGACTGTTTGCATATAATAATAATAATAATATGCATATACTATACACTTAAAAGTAATTCAAAACTTATTTGTTTCTCTTGAAAAACCAATTTTCTTATTAACCCAGACCTACATATAAGCCCACACATCAATAGGTTTAGTAGTCGTAATGATATTTTGCAATAGATTAGGCCTACAACTAAAAAAAGTGATGATGAGATCACTTTGTGTGAAAATAAATCGATGTTATGTATGTATATATGTGTGTGTGTTTGTATGTATGTATTTATGTGTGTGTGTGTGTGTGTGTGTGTGTGTGTGTGTGTGTGTGTGTGTGTGTGTGTGTGTGTGTGTGTGTGTGTGTGTGTAGATAGACAGCCCATATATTATCTTCACAAATAGGTACCGCCAAAAAATTATTAATAATAATAATAACAATAAACTTTTATTTTATGTTGTAATTGAATTATATTATAGATTATATATTTCTCAACACATTATTCATAAAAATCTATTCAATAGTGTGTGTGTGTGTATCTCAATGCTTATCAAATTATCTATTAAAATACCTGTATTATTATTATTATTATTATTTCATTTAATATGACTGATTCATTAAATTGTTGTCCGAATTGAAGGAAACGTTTATATGGAAAGATAATATATTGTTATATACTGTATGTATAAATGTTTGAATGAAATGGCAATTAAAATTTTAAAAAAAGTGAGAGTCAAATGCATAGAGTGGTGTGTGTGTGTGTGTGTGTGCACTGGTAGGTAGTGGTGGTGTTGGCATTGTTGTTGGTCGGCCTCGTGTCACGCAGTCATCACCATTTCCGCAGACACACACAACACCGTTAGCTTATATATGTATAAAAACTGTTGCATTCATTATAATCATAATAACAAATTTTTATATAAAGTTATATATATATAGTTTACCTCTCTCTCTCTCTCTCTCTCTCTCTCTCTCTCTCTCTCTCTCTCTCTCTTAATCTTTTAAGACTCTATTGTTATGATTGCATTGCGTGATTCAGATTGCATTCATTGATTAGATTTCACTTATTTTTATTGCTGTTATTATATATTTATATTAATATTATTTCTTGAAAATTTTCATTTTATTATTATTATTATTAAAAATTAATTTATAAATACTGTACTGATTTTTTTTTCATTCAGTGTCAATGTTGTCATACTTATGTGTAAATACATCAAAAAATTAGTAATTTTATTTATACAGTATATATATGTATTTGTGTTGTTGTTTTAATTGATGTATGAAATGATTCAATTATTTATCTCTATGTGTTTTATTAACACACATAACAAAAAAAAAAGTTTTTTATTATTAACAATAAATAAATAAATAATAGTAAATACAATATAAGCTATATATATTTACATACATAAAGTTAAGTCAATATAATTTTGGTGACAAACAGTTGCTCTGTTTGAACGCTTTCATGTTATTCTCCATATTATATACATATAAATTAAATTATTATTAAATTATTATTATTGTTTTTTATATGTCATAATAACCAGAAAAAAAGTATTTTATTATTTATTACAAATAAAATAAAAAACTACTTTAGCTAATAGTGAAGTGACAAAGCATTTTAGTTAACAAATGAGAGTTAGTAATACATAAATTAATAGTTATTAAAATGTTTTTTTTATAACAAAATAGCAGTCATTTAAAAAACAACGCGATTTATATTCAATATATTATATTCTGATTTAATATTATAATTGAATTGCAGAAATAGATAGAGATTTGACGGGTAATTGTTGTATTTACACAGTTATGTTAATATAATATATTATATATATATATTTATTTTGTTGTTATTGTTGATTAAACTCTATTTTAAAACATATATACTGTATACTGCAAATATAGTATTTATATTTTATGTACACATTAGGAAAAAAATACCCATTAATTTTTAAGAAAGCAATGTTAAAAAAATATATTAATAAGTAAATTAGATGTTATTTTTATTTAATTAAAAATATGTATTTATGTTATATATATAATAAAATAAAACTGATTTTTTTTCTCTCACACTAATGAATATGAACTTTTGATAAAAACTTTTTTTTTTGTTAAAAACATTTATAAATTTATAAATATTTCTCCAGTTTTAAAGCAATTATTTAACTAATACTTGACTCTCTCTCTCTCTCTCTCTCTCTCTCTCTCTCTCTTCTCTCTCTCTCTCTCTCTCTCTTATTCGACTCAAATTTCTATACATTTTATCTAAATTTTATCAAATATCAACATTACTTTATTCTCTATACTATCGTATTTTACAACTCCTTTCTAAACAAAAATATTTGCCGATCTATTTTTAGGTCAACCCTTGGTCTTTAACTCATATATTTATATTGATATATATTGGTATAATAGGAGTGTATACACTATACGGTATATTAGTTAAAGTACAGTATACAGTAGTTAGCGATTGACCATACATTTGCTCCGTCATGTGAGCCCCCACTCTATGTCAAGGTCTCTCTCTCTCTCTCTCTCTCTCTCTTTCTTGTAAGTGATGATAATATGACTGTGCTTTTTATGTGACAAAACTGATTACTACTCTAACTGGTAGTTAGTTAGTAATATATATAAAGCAAAATACCAGCAAAACATTTAAAACAGAAAACTTA